CCTTGCATGCCTGAGACCCTGGGTTCGATTCCTCAGCACCACATAAGCAAAAAGAAAAAAGCCGAAAGTGGCGCTGTGGCTCAATTGGTAGAGTGCTAGCCTTGAGCTGACGAGCTGAGGGACAGTGCCCAAACCCAGAGTTCAGGCCCTACGACCGGACCCCCCAAAAAAAAAGAAAAAAAGAAAGTCCATGAGACTCTTATCTCCAATTAGCCACCATAAAACCAGAAGTGGCACTGTGGCTCAAGTGGTAGAGCCTTGGGTTGAGGAGCTGAGGGATAGCACCTAGGTCCAGAGTTTAAGCCCTACGATGGAACAAAAAGAAAAAAAGCTAGGCACCAGTGGCCATACCTGTAATCCTAGCAACTCAGAAGGTTGAGATCTGAGGATGAGGGTTCAAAGCCGATCCAAGTAGGGAAAACAAAAAACATTTTGTTTTTGCCAATCCTGGGGCTTGAATTCTGGGCGTTGTCACTGTCCCTAAGCTTCTTTGGCTCAAGGCTAGTGCTTTTACCACTTGAGCCACAGGGCCACTTCTGATTTCTTGTGAATAGTTTATTGGAGATAAGAGTCACTTGGACTTTCTTCCCTGGGCTGGCTTCCAACTGAGGTTCTCAGATCTCAGCCTCCTTAGCAGCTAGGATTACAGGCCTGAGCCACTGGTGCCAGCTATGTGAAATCCCTTCTTCTTTCTTCTTGTGAAATCCCTTCTTTCTTTTTTTTCTTTCTTTCCTTCCTTCTCTCCTCCTCCTCCTCTTCCTCCTCCTCCTCCTTCTTATCAAGGCTTAGGCACTGTCCCTCAGATTCTTTTGCTCAAGGCTAGCACTCTACCACTTGAGCCACAGTGCCACTTCTGGCTTTTTAGTTTATGTGTTACTGAGGAATTGAACACAGGGCTTCATGCATGCTAGGCAAACACTCTTCCGTTAAGCCACATTCCCAGCCCTCTGTGAGACTCATCTCCAATTAACCACTAGAAAACTGGAATTACATTGTGGAATTACAAGTGGTAGAGTGCTAGCCTTGAGCACAAGTGGTCAGCAACATTGCCCAGGCTGCACGTTCAAGGCCCCATGTCCAACAAAAATAAAAGCAGGGTGCCAGTGGCTCACGCCTGTAATCCTCAGGAGGCTGAGATCTGAGGGTCACAGTTCAAAGCCAGCCTAGGCAGGAAAGTCTGTGAGACTTTTACCTCCTGTTAACCACTACAAAACCAGAAGTGGCGTTGTGGCTCAAGTGGTAGAGCGCTCGCCTTGAGCTAAAGAGCTGAGGGACAGCGCCCAAGCCCAGAGTTTAAGCCCCATGACCGACAAAAATAAATAAAAAGTAAATAAAATAAATTTTAAAATGTCAGTATTTTAAAATATGTTTTCATTCTTTTTCCTTCTTTTTTCCTACATTGGTTGTGTAGACTGAGCGCCAGGTGTCTCGATGGTTTGCTCAGTGCCTTCGGGAGCAGTCCATGCTGCTAGAAATTATCTTCCTTTACTATGCATACTTTGAGATGACACCTAGTGATCTGCTGGTATTAACCAAGATGTTTAAAGAGCAAGGATTTGGTAGTAGACAGACCAATAGGCACCTGGTGGATGAGACCATGGATCCTTTTGTCGACCGGATTGGGTAAGTCTGAATGAATCAAGGGTGACAGAACTTAGAGCTTTCGTACTCCATTTCTTCTGTAAATAGGTGAGAGGGAAAGCTTTTCATTTAATGAGAGGAGAAAGAAATGAGTGTTCTGATACCTTGCACTTCATATGGGCAGTAACCTAGGGCTTACGGAGACATGGTCTCAAGTAAATAGTACATTCTTACTTTCTGACTTTATCTAATGTGTTCATCCATTCACTCAACAAACAAAAGTTCTTGAACAACTATTTCAGGCCATACATTAAACAAATGCTAAGAAAGCACATTTGTTCTCTGTTTTTGAAGTCATTACCTGTGGGCTTAAACTTTTTATTTTTTTCCTCTTCTGATGGCCATTGATATATCTATGTAATGACACCTTTTTGATGAAAGAAATATAGATGAGAAATTGACACAGTTTACCTGGGTCAGGTGTAAGTGGTAGAAACTTTTAGTGCTAGATGTATAGTGCCCTGATTGGACATCAAGTGGCTGGTCAAATACAGGTGTCTTGAGAGTCTAAAATACAGGGGCAGCTGAGAGTGTTAACAATGTAAAAGGCCTGGATTTGATCTTCAAGATCTCTCTCACATACACACTCTCACATGAAATTAGAACCTCAGTATTAAGATACCACAGAAGTCATTGGTTATTCTGATATTGACATGTCTTACTTCTGACCTTAGTCTCAGGTTCTGAAGAGCATATACAATTCCTTTATATCATTTTGTCTTCCTAGTTACTTCAGTGCCCTTATCCTGGTGGAAGGCATGGATATTGAGTCCCTGCATAAGTTTGCTTTGGATGACAGGAGAGAACTGCACCAGTTTGCTCAGGATGGCCTCATTTGTCAGGTGAACTTGGGAAAGCCCTTTTTTCTTTCTTTCAGATGGCTTATAGTTAGTAGTGTTTTTAACCACAGAACTGTCCTGCTGTGTAAGCTTTTAGTGTTCTGGAGTTTAGATTTCTGTATTGTTAAATGGGTCATTAGATCTAGAAGAAACAGGTTGGTTGATCATCTGTACAGAGGTGATACTGATTCTGTGAAGCAAATGTAGTCACTTAGATGGCATAAACACAAAACAGGTCCAAGGTTTACTGGGCGGAGGAGAAAGTGGGAAAAGGGGTGAACATTGAGAAGGGAAGAATAGAAAATGAAAGGCCATGGAAAGCTAAGGTCAGGCTAATACAGTTTCTGAAGTCCTTATTGGAAAATGTGTTTATAGTTTTACATTAAGATACATAAAATCGGTAGAAATGTGAGTAAGGGCTGGTGAGGTGGCTCAGTGGTAGAGTGCTTACCTTGCATGCATGAAGCCCAGGGTTTGATTCCTCAGCACCACATAAGCAGAAAAAGCCAGAAGTGGCACTGTGGCTCAAGAGGTAGAGCGCTAGCCTTGAGCTGAAGAGCTGAGGGACAGTGCTCAGGCCCAGAGTTCAGGCCCCACAAATGACATAAAATAAAAGAAAAATGGGGCTGGGAAGGTGGCTCAGTAGTAGAGCGCTTGCCTTGCATGCTCGAGGCCCTGGGTTCGATTCCTCAGCACCACGTAAGCAAAAAGAAAAAAAGCCGAAAGTGGCGCTGTGGCTCAAGTGGTAGAGCACTAGCCTTGAGCTGAAGAGCTGAGGGACAGCGTCCAGGCCCAGAGTTCAGGCCCCACTACCGGACCCAAAAAAAAATAAATAAATAAAAGAAAAATATGTAAGTAAAGGTGAGAGGTGAGGGGACATGAATGAAGTGGCTGGGTGGTGTGGAGGCATGGAGGAACGTGGTCCTGCATGGAGAGTAAAGCCTCTCTAGGTGGATGATGGTTCTCCTGATCACAGTGACATCCTGGTGAGGAATCTCCCCTCCCCCCTTTTTTTGTCAGTCGTGGGGCTTGAACTCTGGACCTAGGTGCTGTCCCTCAGCTCTTCAGCTCAAGGCTAGCGTTCTACCACTTGAGCCACTGGGCCACTTCTGGTTTTCTGGTGGTTAATTGGAGATAAGAGTCTCAGACTTTCTTTAGATCTCAGCCTCTTTAGTAGCTAGGGTTACAGGCGTGAGCCACCAGGGCCTAGCTAATCTTCCTCCTGTTTCCCTCTCTTGTTAGGACATGGACCGTTTGATGTTGACCTTCGGGGACATTCCACATCATGCTCCAGTACTTTTGGCATGGGCTCTTCTCCGCCACACCCTGAACCCTGAAGAGACCAGCAGTGTGGTCCGGAAGATAGGGGGCACAGCTATCCAGCTAAATGTATTTCAGTACCTGACCCGACTACTGCGGTCACTTGCCAGCGGGGGGAATAACGTGAGTCTAAAGCTTTTGGTGGTTTCCAGTGAAATGGGCAAAGAGCAGGGCAGAACTATGAGAATCTTGGCAAGAACTGTAATAGTGAGGTAAAGCATGATGATTAGGTCATAACTAACTTACATAGAGCATTACCTATGAACAGACATTGTTCTTGCTCAGTATCTTTTTGGGAAGGGCATTGTTAGTGTTTGAATTCACCTCATGATTGCTGCTGATGTTCTACCACTTAGGTCACACCTCCAACCTTGCTTTTTTATTATTTTTTTCGTCGGTCGTGGGGCTTGAATTCTGGGCTTGGGTGCTGTCCCTCAGCTCTTCAGCTCAAGGCGAGCGCTCTACTGCCTGAGCCACAGTACCACTTCTGGTTTTCTGAGTGGTTTATTGGAGATAAGAGGACTTTCCTGCCCAGGCTGGCTTTGAACCTCAATCCTCAGATCTCAGCCTCCTAAGTATTTTTAATTAAAATAAATAAAAATTAATATTATATAATTTAAAAATTAAAGGCCTGAACTCTGGGCCTGGTGCTGTCCCTCAGCTATTCATTTCAAGGCTAGTGCTCTACCACTTGAGTCATTGCACTACTTCTGGCTTTTTCTGCTTATGTGGTTCTGAGGAATCAAAGCCAGGACCTCAGGCATGCAAGGCAAGCACTCAACCACTGAGCCACCTTCCCAGCCCAAGTAGTGTCTTTTTTAACCCTTACAACAGTTCTATCTTCTTCTTCTTCTTCTTCTTTTTTTTTCTTTTTGTAGGTCATGGGGAACTTAGGGACTGGCTGCTGATCTCTTTCACTCAAGCCACAGAGATACTTTTTCTGGTGGTTAATTGGAGATAAGAATCTCCTGGAGCCTGGCACTGGTGGCTCACACTTGTAATCCTAGCTACTGAGGAGGCTGAGATCTGAGGATCAAGGTTCAAAGCCAGCCCTGGAAGGAAAGTCTGTGAGACTTTTATCTCCAATAAACCAGCAGAACACCGGAAATGGTGCTGTGGCTCAAGTGGTAGAGTGCTTGCCTTGAACTGAGGGACAGCACCCAGGCCTGGAGTTCAAGCCCCATGACAGACCAAAAAAAAAAGAAAAAGTCTCATGGACTTTCCTTCCCAGGCTAGTTTGGAATTGCAGTCCTTAGATCTCAGCCTCCTGAATAGCTAGGATTATAGGCCTGCTTTTTACATTAGGAAATTGAGATTAAGTGAAGTATAATTTGCCCAACCAGCAATAATATTCAGTAATGGTGGATACAATTTGAATTTACAGGTTATGAGTCTGGCTATTTGCCAGTAAAGCATTTGTCCTAGGACATAGGTGGTTGGCTCTTACTGAGTGGAGAAGTCTTTTTTTTTGGTTGGTTGTGGGTCTTGAACTCTGGGCCTGGGCACTGTCCCTGAGCTCTTCAGTTCAAGGGAGTGCTCTACCACTTGAGCCACAACACTACTTCCAGTTTTCTGGGTGTTCAGGGTGTTCTTGCCCGTGCTGTCTTTGAACTGGGATCCTCAGATCTCAGCCTCCTAAGTAGATAGGATTACAGGCTTGAGCCACCAGTGCCTGGCTTGGAGAAGTCTTTTAAGGTAGCTTTTTCACATGTAGCAGGATGACTTAGCAATTCCCTTGAATTTTGGGATTTAATTTGGGTGGCATGATCTAGTCAACTCATTTTGATGTACTAAAACAAAACCTCTTGGGCTAAAAGTTTACCTCAGTGGTTAAGCATTTGCCTGTCATCTATGAAGCCCTGGCTTTGATCCCGGTCCTGCAAAATAAAATGAATTAAATGAACTTTCAGAAACTATGCCCATACAAAAAACAAATTCAGCAGGAAAGTCCATGAAACTCTTATCTCCAATAAACCACCAGAAAACCCTAAGTGGCGCTGTAGCTCAAGTGGTAGAGCACTCGCCTTGAGCTGAAGAGCTGAGGGACAGCACCCAAGCCCCATGACCGAATAAAAAAACAAACAAAAAAAAATCATCCATAATTGCTAGTACTTAGAGACAGATAAAATATCCTTCAGTATATATAAGGAAACTGATACATCTGAATATTACTCAGTGTTAAAAAGAGGTGGGCAGTGGTAGCTCACACCCGTAATCCTAGCTACTCAGGAGGCTGAGATCTGAGGTTCACGGTTCAAAGCCAGCCCAGGAAGAAAAGTTCCTGAGACTCTTATCTCCGTTAAACCAGCAGAAAACCAGAAGTGGTGCTGTGGCTCAAGTAGTAGAGCGCTAGCCTTGAGCTTAAGAGCTGAGGGACAGTGCCCAGGCCCAGAGTTCAAGGCCACGACTGATCAAAAAAAAAGAAGAAGCGGGGCTGGGAAGGTGGCTCAGTGGTAGAGTGCTTGCCTTGCATGCCTGAGGCCCTGGGTTTGATTCCTCAGCACCACATAAGCAAAAAGAAAAAAAGCCGGAAGTGGCTCTGTGGCTCAAGTGGTAGAGTGCTAGCCTTGAGCTGAAGAGTTGAGGGACAGCGCCCTGGCCAGAGTTCAGGCCTCACGACCGGACCCCCCCAAAAAAAAGAAGCTATTAAATAATGAAAAGATGGAGTAAGTGAAAGAAACCAATTTGAAAAGGTCCATAGAATGTAATTACAACCATATGTCACTAGAGGAGTCAAAGTTGTGCACACAATAAGTATCTGGGTTAAGAGATGGGAATGTGGTTTAGTGGTAGAGTTCTTGCCTGGTATGTGTGAAGCACTGGGTTTGATTCCTCAGTACCACATAAATAGAAAAAGCCGGAACTGGTACTGTGGCTCCAGTGGTAGAGTGCTAGCCTTGATCAAGCAAAAGAAGCTTAGGGATAGTGCCCAGGCCCTGAATTCAAACCCCAGGAATGCAAAAAAAAAAAAAATTTGGGTTAAGCTGAAAGGGAGGAAGGAATAATAGGCCAAGTACAAAGAATTTCAAAGACACTAAAATAGCTATATGATTTGGACCTACAGCTGCTCTAAAAACTAAGTTTGTTATATTTAAAAAGAACAAATTTTATCCAACAGACCTTATTTGCTGGTCATGGTTCATATTGGTGACTGGCTCATTAGTATCAATTTATATAAACAATACCTTCTTTATCCACACAGTTGAAAAATTAGAAAATAGTTTGTTTTTGTTTTTTATTTTTGTGCTGGTCCTAGGGCTTGAACTCAAGACCTGTTGCTGTCCCTGAGCTTTTGTGCTCAAGGATAGCGCTACCACTTGAGCTACAGCTCCTTGCTGCTTTTTTCTGGTGACTAATTGGAGATAAGAGTCTCTTGGACTTTCCTGTTTGGGCCTACTCCAACTTCAACCCTCAGATCTCAGCCTTCCTGAGTAACTAGAGTTAGAGCCGTGTATTAGTGTGCCCAGCTTGCCTTGCTTTTATTCTTGACTATGTTGGAATGCTGTGGTTTCTACTTTCTCTTTCTCCCCTTTGTCTTCCTCATCTGATAACTAAATTAGTAAAAGTACAGAAGTGTTAGATTTGTTTCCTATTGGTTTGCAAGGGCTATGCCAACTTGACATGATTGTGCTGACTGGGTTAAGAGTTGTGTTACCCAGTAGTGACTGCCTCCCTGCCATTGCAGTGTACCACGAGCACCGCGTGCATGTGTGTCTATGGACTCCTCTCTTTCGTTCTGACCTCACTGGAGCTGTACACACTGGGCAATCAGCAGGTCAGTATCTGGCGTTGCAGAGGATGTCATAGCTGCCAGCCTTGCAGTCCAGTCCCCACAATGTCCCCTTTAGTCACATGATAACTTATTTATTGCTGTTTGTTTTCATTTATTATGTGAATGATATATTATTGTTGAAAAAACAGAAAATGCTGTTAAAAAGAAAAAAGTCTAATCCAATTACACTGGTTAATTCAGTTAACATTGGGGTCCCAGTATTCCCTTTCATTTTCCACACACACAGAATAATTCTTTTCTTTTTTTTTTTTTTTTGGTCGGTCGTGGGGCTTGAACCCTGGGCCTGGGCACTGTCCCTGCACTCTTCAGCTCAAGGCGAGCATTCTACCATTTGAGCCACAGCACCACTTCCAGTTTTCTAGTGGTTTATTGGAGCTAAGAGTCTCATGGACTTTCCTGCCTGGGCTGGCTTTGAACCGCCATCCTCAGATCTCAGCCTCCTGAGTAGCCAGGATGACAGGCATGAACCACCGGCGCCGGCCTAAAATAATTCTTTTCTAGAAAGGGAATCATAGTGTATATAGTTCTTATGGTTTTTTTATTTTTATTTTTATTTTTTGTTGTCAGTCCTGGGGCTTGGAACTCAAGGTCTGGGCACTGTCCCTGAGCTTCTTTTGCTCAAGGCTAGCACTCTACCACTTGAGCCACAGCACCACTTCTGGCTGTTTCTGTGTATGTGTCACTGAGGATTCGAACCCAGGACTTCATGCATGCTAGGCAAGTACTCTACCACTCAGCCACATTCCCGTCCTGTGTATGGTTCTTTTCTGGTATCCATGGTGGGTTGGTTCCAGGAAGCTTCTAGAATACCAGTCTTTTTTTTTTTTTTCTTTTTGCAGGTTGGGGGGAGGTATTGGAGTTGAACTTAGGGCCTCTCAATATTCAAGCCACTCTACCAGCCCTTTTTGTGCTAGTTATTTTTTCATATAAGGTTGTTATGCTTGGGGAGAGGCCTGGGATACCTTCCTATATTTGCCTCCCTGCATTGCCAGGGTGACAAGGGTGTGCCTAACCTCACTTGACCATTAGTTGATCCTCCAATCTGTGCCTCATAGAGGTATCTGGGATTATAGGCATGAGCTGCATGCACCCTGGAAAGTTTACCTCAGATCATCTCTCACAGTAACTAACAACAATGTAAATGCTATGTGAATAGTGAATAGTTAGTTTGGATCTTGATTGGAGAATGATGGGAAAACATTGTACATGTTCAGTACAAACAACATTTTTTTTTCTATCTTTTTTTTTTTTTTTTTTTTTGGGTCGGTCATGGGTCTTGAACTCTGGGCCTGGGCGCTGTCCCTCAGCTCTTCAGCTCAAGAGGAGTGCTCTACCACATAGGCCACCGTGCCACTTCTGGCTTTTTCTGCATATATGGTGCTGAGGAATCGAACCCAGGACCTCAGGCATGCGAGGCAAGCGCTCTACCACTGAGCCACCTTCCCAGCACTCTTATCTTGTTTTTTGTTTTTATTTTGAGAAAAATTGTTACTGTTTAGCCTAGGCTGGCCTGGAACTCACTATATAGCCTAGGCTAGTTTTGAACTCATGATCTGCCTGTCTCAACCTCTTGAATGCTTGAATTAAAGGATTAAGAGGATTGCAGTTAATTGAAAGCAGTAGAGTATTGAACAAGCTTTGAATACTTTGGGCAATTTTTGAATACATTAGTACCTGCCTTATACCTAGAGGATTTGTATAAACATGTCGGGGTTGTCCTAAAACTTGAATTATTAATTAATTAATTTATTTATTTATTTTTGTCAGTCGTGGGCCTGAACTCTGGGCCTGGGCGCTGTCCCTCAGCTCTTCAGCTCAAGGCTAGCGCTCTACCACTTGAGCTACAGTGCCACTTCCGTGTTTTTCTGCGTATGTGGTACTGAGGAATCGAACCCAGGGCCTCATGTATACAAGGCAAGCACTCTACCATCGAGCTACCTGCCCAGCTCCATAGAACTTGAATTTTTTTTTTTTTTTTGGTCCCGTCGTGGGGCCTGAACTCTGGGCCTGGGCGCTGTCCCTTAGCTCTTCAGCTCAAGGCTAGCGCTCTACCACTTGAGCCACAGCACCACTTCTAGCTTTTTTCTTTTTGCTTATGTGGTGCTGAGGAATCAAACCCAGGGCCTCAGGCATGCAAGGCAAGCGCTCTACCACTGAGTCACCTTCCCAGCCCTACAACTTGAAGTTTTAGAAACTTTTCTTAATAAATGCCCAGTGTGGGCTGAGCTCTGTGCTAGCCATTGTCCTTGCCCTTTTAGTAGTCTAGTCTTGCTGAGCCTGGTAATACCTTACATTTATATAGCATTTTCCAGTTTATACTTTAATTCCCCAAACATCTTATTTAATCTTTAGTAAACCAAAGCAGTATTACCAGCTTTTCTCATCTCATTTTACACATAAGCATTTAACAATTTAGGTTCAGTTTGTCTAATCTCATATAGCAGACATAATGTGTACCCTTGGCCAGGTATAGTCTTTTTGGAGGGATGGGAGAGGTAGGGTCTCACTATGTATGTGGTCCTTGCTTGCTTTGAACTCATGGAAAAACTTGCTCCAGTCTCAAACTCCAGATCCTCCTAACTTGGTCTGCCAAGTAGTGTAGGGATTAGAGGCAACATGCCCAGCTATAATGTTATTCTTCTACTTACTTATTTAGTTGATCATGGGGCTTGAACTCTGGGCCTGGGCTCTCCCTGAGTTCTTCTGTTCAAGGCTAGAGTTCTACCATTTTGAGCCACAGTGCCACTTCCGGTTTTCTGGTCGTTAATCGGAGATAGGGTCTCATAGACTTCGTTGCCTGGGCTGGCTTTGAATCACAGTCCTCAGATTTCAGTCTCTTTTTTTTTTGGGTCCAGTCGTGGGGCCTGAACTCTGGGCTTGGGCACTGTCCCTCAGCTCTTCAGCTCAAGGCTAGCGCTCTACCACTTGAGCCACAGCACCACTTCCAGCTTTTTTCTTTTTTCTTATGTAGTGCTGAGGAATCGAACCCAGGGCCTCATGCATGCAAGGCAAGTGCTCTACCACTGAGCTACCTTCCCAGCCCCAGATTTCAGCCTTTTAATTAGTTAGGATTATAGGCATGAGTCACCAACACCTAAATGTTACTCTAAACTCAGAGTTGTTCTGATATATTACAGGAAGGTGTTTATTGGTGTTTTAATGTTAACAGAATACAATAAAAGCATAAAATGGTTTATCCAGTCACTTTCTCTCATTTTCTCCTCTCCCCCTAACAGGATGTCATTGATACAGCTTGTGAAGTCCTGGCAGACCCTTCTCTTCCAGAACTGTTTTGGGGCACAGTAAGTATGGCAGAGGGAATCATGTGAGAAAGGATTTATTGGACACGTTCTGATAGTTTATTTTTTGTTTGTTTGTGCCATTTCTAGAGCTTGAATTCTGGGCCTGAGCAATGTCCATGAGCTTTTTCGCTCAAAGCTGGTGCTCTATCACTTAAACCCAAAGCTCCACTGATGGCTTTTTGGTGGTTAATTAGAGATCAGAGTCTTAGGGTCTTTCCTGCCTATGAACTATGATCTTCAGATCTAAAGCCTCCTGAGTAGCTAGGAGCATAAGCATGAACCACCATTACCTAGGTATAATAAGGAATTGATTACAGTTCCCTAAGTCAGGTTATGAGTGCATTGTATCTTGATCAGTGTCACCCATTCCATCATTCTCCCCCATTTTCCCCCACTCCCACACCTGCCTGCATTTGCTTACCCTTCCTCCTTTCACTGCTGTGCCCCTCCCTCACTGTCCTTCCCCCTCAAACATGTTTCAGGCAGCACTGGTGGCTCACGCCTGTAATCCTAGCTACTCAGGAGGCTGAGATCTGAGGATCGTGGTTCAAAGCCAGTCCGGGCAGGAAAGACCGTGAGACTCCTATCTCCAGTAAACCACGAGAAAGCCGGAAGTGGCACTGTAGCTCAAGTGATAGAACGCTTGCCTTGAGATGAAGAACTGAGGGTCTGTGGCCAGGCCTAGAGTTCAAGCCCCACGACTGACAAAAAACAAACAAACATGTTGCCACTTCCTGGTATATTTTGTTAAATAGTTGTGGTAGGTCTTTTTCTTTTTGGCCAGTCTTGAGCTTGAACTCAGGGCCTGGCCACTGTCCCTGAGCTTCTTTTGCTCAAGGCTAGCACTTTACCACTTGAGCTACTTCTGGCCTTTTCTGTTTATGTGGTATTGAGGACTCTCACCCTGAGCTTCATCTGTGCTACGCAATAACTACCACTAAGCCACATTCCCAGCCCTGTGATAGCTCTTATAGTTAGCATTTATGCACATGTCTTCATTGGCTCTTCAGGAAGGTCTATGAAGTAGATGCTATCATTATCCTCCTTTTGCATTGATGACCTGCCCAAGATCACACAGTCGGACACACAGTAGCCAGAAAGTTCTGCCTGACTTGAGTCTGTAGCTCAAATATTTAGCATGATAGGATTATGCTGAATAAGCCTACTCTAATAATTTGTTATGGAGTCTTAACCTCAACCATCCTGCCAACCAATATATTTCACCAATATATTGCCTTTTAGGTACTAGGATTCTTGTAGTCCTTCAAAGTCCTTCTAGGGCATTAAAACTTTCCTGGCTGGGCGGGGCACCAGTGACTCACGCCTGTAATTCTAGCTACTGAGGAGGTTGAGATCTGAGGATCACGGTTCAGGGCCATCCTGGGCAGAAAAATCAGTGAGACTCTTATCTCCAATTTTGCCCTAAAAAACCGGAAGTGGTGCTGTGGCTCAAGAGATAGAGTGCTTGCCTTGAGCAGGGATAGTGCCCAAGCCCAGAGTTCAAGCTCCACGAACAACAGCAACAACAAAAAAACTATCTTAGCTGGGCACTACTGGCTAACACTTATAATCCTATCTACTCAGAAGACAGAGATCTGAGGTTGACATTTGAAGCCATCCTGACCAGGAAAGTCCATGATACTCTAAGCACCAAAAAGCCAATAGTGAAGCTATGGCTGTAGTGATAGAGTACTAGTTTTGAGTGAAAACCTCAGGGACATGTTCAAACTTTGAGTTTAAAGCCTAGGGCCAGTGACATACCTATAATCCTAGCTACTAAGGAGGCTGAGACCTGAGGATCATTGTTCAAAGCCATCCCAGGTTGGAAAGTCTATAAGACACTTACCTCCAATTAACTACTAGAAAATTGGAAGTATTACTGTGGCTCAAAGTGGTAGAATACTAGCCTTGAGCAAAAAAGCTCAGAGACAGTATCCAGGCCCTGAGTTCAAGCCCCACAATCAAGAAAAAAGAAAAAAATCCAATAATTTATATGTTGCCAGTTATCAGAGTGTTAGGTTAGAGTGAGTTTTTTTTTTTTTTTTTGGTCAGTTGTAGGTCTTTAACTCTAGGCCTGGGTGCTGTCCCTCAGCTCTTCAGCTCAAGGCAAGCACTTTACCACTTTATCCACAGTGCCACTTCCAGTTTTCTGCTGGTTAATTGGACATAAGAGTCTCATGGACTTGCCTTGCCTGGGCTGGCTTTGAACCACGATTCTCAGATCTCAGCTTTCTGAATAGCTAGGATTACAGGCATGAGCTACTGACTCACAGCTAGAGTAAGAATTTGATTTGGGGAGGATTAGTCTTGTCATTCTTTTTTTTTTTTTGTCAGTCATGAAGCTTGAATTCAGGGCCTAGGCGCTGTCCCTCAGCTCTTCAGCTCAAGGCTAAAACTTTACCATTTGAGCCACAGAGCCACTTCTGGCCTTTTCTGTTTATGTGATGCTGAGGAATCAAACCCAGGGTCTCATGCATGAGAGGCAAGCACGCTACCACTGAGCCACCTTCCCAGCCCATAGTCTCATCAATTCTTGAGTCTCATCTGAGACTCAAACCTCACAGTCCAGTTGATAAAGGATCTGTAATTCATCTCCTGATTTTCCTTTTTTTTTTTTTTTTTTTCCAGTCCTGGGCCTTGAACTCAGGGCCTACGCACTGTACCTGAATGTCCTTTGCTCAAGATGAGCACTCTACTCTACCACTTGAACCACAGCACCACTTCTGGCTTTTTCTGTGTATGTGGTACTAAGGAATCAAACCCAGGACTTTGTGCATGCTAGGCAAGCGCTCCACTACTAAGCCATGTTCCCAGCTCCTCCTGATTTTTCTGATATACTGGTACTCTTATAAAACCCCAAGTGTCTGGGAGAAGCTGGTGTTGTCTCATATTTAAATTGAGCTTTATTGTTTGTGTGTGGTGGCTAAGTGCTACATGTTTTTAGTTTCTTTTTACTTTAGTGGAAATGTAATACCAAGGAACAAGGTTATCTTTAAGAAAAGTGGCCATTGGGGCTGGGAAGATGGCTCAGTGGTAGAGCGCTTGCCTTGCATGCCTGAGGCCCTGGGTTTGATTCCTCAGCACCACATAAGCAAAAAGAAAAAAGCCAGAAGTGGCGCTGTGGCTCAAGTGGTAGAGCACTAGCCTTGAGCTGAAGAGCTGAGGTACAGCGCCCAGGCCCAGAGTTCAGGCCCCACGACCGGACCCCAAAACAAAAACAAGAAAAGTGACCATGCAGAGCTCACTGCATAGACAAGCAGTCTCTTCTATGTCGTGAATACCCAGTTTGAGAGCTTTTGTCAGTAGAACTGTGAGAGTCTTAGGTGATGAGGGAAGAATGATAATGCTAATGGAAGGAATAATTCTAGATTTTCTTATGACAGCTAGTCACTTCTGAAGAGGCATGACTATTTCCTTCCATCCTAGGAACCAACCTCTGGTCTTGGCATCATTCTGGACAGTGTATGTGGCATGTTTCCCCATCTACTTTCCCCACTCCTGCAGTTGCTCCGAGCCCTCGTGTCAGGGAAGTCCACTGCCAAAAAGGTAAGTTGTTGAGTCAGATCCTGCAGGAGAGGGATTTTGTTGGGCTGTCACTGAGATTCCTTTTCCTTTTGGCATTGATACACCACTGCCAGGACAAATGTTCGTCTGCAGTTGCATGAAATATGCTAATACTTTGTGAAGAATCCCTAGTAGATACTATAGGACTAAGTCTAAGCATAAAATTCCTCAATATCAACCTGGAAGAGAGTAACTGTGTAGGTACAAGGTAATAGGGCTGGAGATGTAGTTCGGTGGTATAGTACCTTAGTAATATGTGCAAGTACCTGGATTTGATCACTGGCACTGCAAAATAGGAAGGAATAAGGAAGGGAGGAAAGAGGAAGATAGGATGGGAGAGAGGGAAAGAGGGAGCAAGGGAGAAGGAAGGGAAGAGAGGAAAGGAAAGACCAAGAAAGAAAGGGAAAACAAGCTAGGTGCTGGTTCTCATAATCCTAGCTACTCAGGTGTCTGAGATCTACAATAGTATGGTTCACAAGACAGCCCAGGCAGAAAAGTCCAAGAGACACATCTCTAGCTAATCAGCAAAAAGCCAGGCAGTCTAGAGGTATGACTCAAGTGGCAGGATGCCTGTCTAGAAAGTAAGGTGAGCAAGGGCCTGGGAAGATGGCTCAGTGGTAGAGCGCTTGCCTTGCATGCATGAGGCCCTAGGTTCGATTCCTCAGTACCACATAAAGCAAAATTAAAAAAGCCAGAAGTGGCGCTGTGTCTCAAGTGGTAGAGCGCGAGCTGAAGAGCTGAGGGACAGCGCACAGGCCCAGAGTTCAGGCCCCACGACCGGACCAAAAAAAAAAAGAAAAGAAAGTAAGGTGAGCAAGCATGAAGTCCTACTTCCAGCCCTAAAACACAGGCCAAAAAAAAATGAAATGGAGTCAGGTGATATATAAAAATGGTTTTGTAGTATTTCCAGTGATAGAGCATTTTTTTTTCATTTTATTTTATTTCTTGCCAGTCGTAGGGCTTGAACTCAGGGTCTGGGCACTGTCCGTAAGCTTCTCTTGCTCAAAGCTAGCACTTTATCACTTGAGCTACAGCACCACTTCTGGCCTTTTCTGTTTATGTGTACTGAGGAATGGAACCCAGGGCTTCATTCAAGCTAGGCAAGCCACATTCCCAGTCCAAGAGAGCATTATTGAGGAGAGATCCTTTTTCAATGGAGAGAAGGGAATGAATTGGGTTAAACAATGCTGAAAGCTGAGTGATGGTGGCTCACATCTGTAATTCTAGTTATTCAGGTGGCTGAGATCTGAGGATCGCTGTTCAAAGCCAGTCTGGGGAAGAAAGTCCATGAGACTCATCTCCAATTAATTGCCAAAAAACTGGAAGTGGAGCTGTGGCTCAGAGTGATAGAGCACTAGCCTTGAGTAAAAAGACCCAGGCACAGCACCCAGGCCCTAAGTTCAAGCCGACTAATTGCCCCCACCCCCCCAAAAAAAACATGGATCATCTGAGGCAGTTTAATTCCAGGAAGAGCCTCAGTGATGGGCTGGTGGAAGTTTGAGGACTGAAGCAGCTGACACAGGACCCTTAGATATCCTGTGATGAATGTGTGATGGGTTTCTTTGGCCTGTTGGCAGGTGTATAGCTTCCTGGATAAGATGTCTTTCTACAATGAACTTTATAAGCACAAGCCCCATGATGTCATCTCCCACGAAGATGGAACTCTTTGGCGGAGACAAACACCCAAACTCGTCTACCCTTTGGGTAAGGCAGATAGCTTTGGTATGTTAACCCCACTTACATGGGTCTAGTCAAGCTTAACCCTTTTGTTTGAGGTGCCTGTAAAATACTTCCTTCTCTTTTGTTTTTTGGTTTGGTGACAATTAGTCTCAGCTTCCCTTTCTCAAAATTTTTGTAGTTTTTGGAGATTGAACTAGGGTATTGTGCTCTGCCACTAAGCTGCAATTACAGCAAGTTTATCTCTCTATTTTTAGCAGAGGTTTGATCTCAGAGTCTTGCACTTACTAGGCAGGTGCTCTACCACTCAGTCATACTTCTAGCTCATTTTTGTGATGGTTATTTTTTCTTTTTTGGCGGCACTGGGTTTAAACTCAAGGTCGTGCACTTGTTAGGCTAATACATATTGCTAAGCCACACCTCTAGCCCTATTTCTGGATTTATCCTTTCCTCTTTCTGGATTTGATTTATCCTTTACCTGGTCAATATTTCCCCCCTGAAATACAGTTTTTGTTTGGTTTTGTATTGTTTTGTTTTCTGTTGGTTGTGGGACTTGAACTCTGGGCCTGGGCGCAGTCCCTCAGCTCTTCAGTTCAAGATGAGCACTCTACCACTTGAGCCACAGTGCCACTTCCAGTTTTCTGGTGGTTAATTGGAGATAAGAATCTCACAGATTTTTCCTGCCTGGTCTGACTTTGAACCATGCTAGGATTACAGGCGTGAGCCACTGGTGCCCAGCTTCAGTTTGTATTTTTTGTCCCCTCAAAAATGTAAAAAGTAACCATATGCCTATGGCTTACGCCTGTAATCCTAGCTACTAAAGAAGCTGAGATCTGAGGGTGACAGTTCAAAGCCAGCCCAGGCTGGAAAGTATGTGACACTCTTACCTCCAATTAACTGCCAGAAAACTGGAAGTGGCGCTGTAGCTCAGTGTGTTAGAGTGCTAGCCTTGAGCTGAAATGCTCAAGGCCCAGAGTTCAAGCCTCACAACTGGCAAAAAAAAGTATGAACTATACACAAGCTTATTCTCTGCATACTTAGTATGCAAATCAGACATTATAGAGATAGTAGCATAGCAATAAATTCTTATCAAGTCTTGGATAGTTGTTTGTTGTTTTTTTTTTGGTCTGGTCCTGGGGCCTGAATTCTGGGCCTGGGTGCTGTCCCTCAGCTCTTCAGCTCAAGACTAGTGTTCTACCACTTGAGCCACAGCGCGACTTCCAGCTTTTTTTTTTTTTTTTTTGATAGTTCTTAATAGACAAGATGCTAGGAAATAGAAACAACAAAAACCCACTTCTTTTTGTTACACATATAATTCAGATAGTTTAAAGAAAAATAGTCATTGGAGGGATAGAAGCCACTCTGGACACAACTGGTTTTAAACCTATGGAAAGAATTAAATATCTGCGTTTTTATATCTTTATTGAAAAAGCTATGTGCTTTTTAGTTACTAAGAAGAGTCCATGTGTCTGTGTTGACACACTGGTGCTGTAGTGGAGGCTCTTCTTTCTGTTCATCCTCTAATATATTAAACGGCTATCTCTCTTCCTCCCTTCCTTAGGGGGCCAGACGAACCTTCGCATACCTCAAGGTACCGTGGGTCAAGTGATGCTGGATGACCGGGCTTACCTGGTGCGCTGGGAGTACTCCTACAGTAGCTGGACCCTCTTCACTTGTGAGATTGAAATGCTGCTTCATGTTGTTTCCACTGCAGGTAGGCAACGTTCAGAGAGACCACTGTAGGGAGGGAACATCTGATTTGTTTATTTGTGTCTCTGAAACCCTTCAGTGATCTCGTGGAGTTGTTTGCTGTGAAGGCAAAGACATTGTTTCTCTTTAGATGTGATTCAGCATTGCCAGCGAGTCAAACCCATCATTGATCTGGTCCACAAGGTCATCAGCACTGACCTCTCCATTGCGGACTGTCTCCTGCCCATCACATCCCGCATCTACATGCTGCTGCAGCGGTGAGTCACGCACACCTAGCCCTCCATTACCTGCCAGAGCTTGTGGCAATCTCTCTTGGTTTCCAGGCCACACACGCTTCTCCCTTGGGAAGGCCTGAAGCCCTAAAAGAGGAATGTAGGGAGAGAACTGGAAAATCTCTGTGATGGAACCAAATGTGTTAGTCATTTTATTGAGTGCTGCTATTCTCCAACCAGGTTGACGACAGTAATTTCTCCCCCTGTGGATGTCATTGCTTCTTGTGTTAACTGTTTGACTGTTTTAGCTGCCCGGAATCCAGCAAAGGTAAGACACCAAGTCTTCTTATAGCCAATGAGTATTGCATTGGTGTGGGACAGAAAATGGGTGAACATTTAGCTTTTTCCTTTGCAGGTCTGGACTGATCTTCGTCACACAGGTTTTTTACCATTTGTGGCCCATCCTGTCTCTAACATGACACAGATGATTAGGTGAGCCAGGCCTGGTGGGTCAGCTTTATTCCCTAGCATGAACCATCCTCCTTTCAAGTCTAGCCTGGCCTGCTTTGTGTGTGTGTGTGTGTGTGTGTGTGTGTGTGCATGCGCATGCATGTGCACGCACGGGTGCACTTATTTTTATTAAAGGCTGGTGCTGTTCCACTTGAGTCACAGCCCAACTACCAGCTTTTTGGTGGCTGATTAGAGAGTCTCACTGGCTTCCCTGCCTAGGCTGGCTTTGAACTGCAATCCTCAGATCTCAGCCTTTTATGAGTAGCTAGGATTACAGGTGTGAACCATTAGTATGAAGCTCTGGCTACATTCGTTTTAAGCTTTCTCTTTCTGTACTGTATGCACTTCTTGCCTCTGCAGCTCTGGGAACCAAGGGTGAGTGAGGATGAGATGAAGGGATAGGGAGCATGGCATAGGGCTGCTCACCTCTCAGGGCAGAGTGCTGCGTCCTGGGTTTTCAAGTTTTAAAGATCCAGCTGAAGCTCTAGAGGTGTCTGGATGCAAAAAGCTATATCTATTTTCAGACACAGTCAGTATGCTCTTCCTTGTTTCATGGCTACAAAAGCTCCCCAGTAGACCAGCTACCAATATACAGGCTGGTAGTTGGGCTGTGACTCAAGTGGAACAGCACCTCTCTCCTGCTTATAGAAGAGGTATTTCCTGATGGCTCATTTGATTTTTTTCATCAATCTATCTTGAGATTACACATCAATAAAGCAGCATAAAATTGGCTACATTTGATCATTTCCCTTGCAGACAATAGTAAAAATGCTCTGTGGTGATTGGAAGTGTAGCTTAGTGGTAGAAAGCCTTCCTAGAAGTGTGAGCCCCTGAGTTCAAACTCTAGTACCACCAAAAGAAATGCTGTGATTACGTTTCTGGAACCCTTGAGCCATCCTTATCATTTTATCTCTCTTCCTTTCTGTGTTTTGCCAGTGCTGAGGGGATGAATGCTGGAGGGTATGGGAACCTTCTGATGAATAGCGAGCAGCCCCAGGGCGAGTACAAAGTCACCGTTGCCTTTCTGCGCTTGATCACCACCCTTGTCAAGGTACGGTTGGTCAGCTGACTGAGACCACAATAGTTTCCCTGCCTTTTTCTTCAAGACAGTCTTGTCTATAGTTACAACAGTTGTCCTGGCATTAGGGTGGCCTCTGTTTTATGCCAGTATGTTCAGTAGTAAGTCCTTAGATATATGAGTTTGTTTAACATTTGAAAAGCTTATGGGACAGAAGTCGGCAGCAGTGAGGGTACTGTGAGCCCTTCTCACAGAACTTGCTGTCTGTATTCCCCACTCAGTGCTTGCTGCCCTTTCCTAAGTGAGTCAGATATAAAGGGTTAAGAACAAGGCTTTTGGGGGCTGGGAAGGTGGCTCAGTGGTAGAGTGCTTGCCTTGCATGCATGAGGCCCGGGTTCAATTCTTCAGCACCACATAAGCAGAAAAAGCCAGAAATGGTGCTGTGGCTCCAGTGGTAGAGCGCTAGCCTTGAGCTGAAGAGCTGAGGGACAGCGCCTAGGCCCAGAGTTCAGGCCCCACGACCAGCACACACACACACAAAAGAACAAAGCTTTTGGAGGTGGATAGAATTAGGTTTACATTTCAGGTTGATCACGTACTTGCTACATGATGCTGAACAAGTGCAGAATTTGTCCTGATGTCTAGAAAATAGAAAAGGTCTGTATTCCATGAGTTGAGAGAGTCATTGGTGAGCAGCACCCTGTACTTCCTGCCTGTCAGGAAGTGAGTACTTTCAAAGAAACAGTCCTGAAACTGGGGGAAAGCAAAGGAAGGAAGAGATGTACTTATGTAACCTGACTTATGAAATGGCAACCCCTCTGTACAACATCTTAATAATAACAATAAAATATTTTGAAAAAGACAAAATATTAAATCACCTGAGGATTTAATTTTGAAATAAAAGTTTACTTAACAATACAAAAAAAAAATAGCCGGGCGCGGGTAGTTCACACCTGTAATCCTAGCTACTCAGGAGACTGAGACCTGAGGATCGCAGTTCAAAGCCAGGCTGGGCAGGCAACTCTTATCTCTTATCTTAACTCTTATCTCTTATCTCTAATATCTAACTAGAAAACCAGAAGTGGCGCCGAAGCTCAAGTGGTAGAGTGCTAGACTTGAGCTGAAGAGCTGAGGGACAGTGCCCACGCCTAGAGTTCAAGCCCCATGACCGACATACATACATACAAGGAATGACTGTTTTATATAGATAAAGATAGATTGAGATGCCTATATATAAATTGAGGGTCTCCAGTTTGAGAAAGTGGCTGAAATTAAGAACTACTATGACAAAGAACTTTTGAGTATCAGCCTTTCATCCCTTCCGGTATTCCAGTAATGGAGTTGAGATCAGAGGAGGCTGCTGTTCATAACAGTGAATCTGGCATTCTTGGTCCTTGGTAATTCTGTGTTTAAGGTCCCTGCCTTCTGTCAGATTTAATGTTTATCACTAGGCACCTTTGATGACATTGTCACATTGCTTTTTAGTTGCTCTTTGTATTTTAGAGAAATTTGTGGTTTCTATTTTTTTCTGGTGGCCAACGTGTGTCTAAGTTTCCTATGAACCTATCTATGCTTTTGAAGTGAAATCCCAAGCAGCTAAACAACTTTTCTTCCTTACATGGCAGAGGCCCTTACAGAATGGTTTCCCACAGGGGCAGCTTGGAAGTACCCAGAACCAAGGCCTAGTGCCCTGTGTCATGTTCGTGCTGAAGGAAATGCTTCCCAGCTACCACAAGTGGCGCTACAACTCTCATGGTGCGAGGGAGCACATCGGTAAGGACAACGCAGGCAGCACCATCCCCTCTTTCCCCCACCCTCTCCCTTCCCAGAACTAATGCTCTCTGGAAAGCTTTGTTTTCCTTTCTTAAAGCTCCTCACACAGGCCATGTCATTGCTCTGTCTTTTTTTTCTGGAGTTCAGGTTGCCTGATCTTGGAGCTGATTCATGCTATACTGAACCTGTGCCATGAGACAGACCTGCACAACAGGTAATGAGGACCCGGTTAATAGACCCAGTGCTTACCAGGGGAAGACATGGGTTGTTGCACGTAAGGCAGTCTCATTTCTTTTAGCACACTCACCTTGCTTGAACCCAAAGTGCATTCATTAATCTTGACTGTGATTTGCTTTCCACTGGCTCCATTGAGAAATGATCATTTCTCCCTATAGGGAGCAAATGAAGTGGGAGTGATAAGGTGTGATTGTGTACATGTAGATAGAAAATTTTTAGGATCTGTACAAAAATTATGCACATGCATTGGAGAATAGGCAGTTAGCGCAAGTAGCCATGCGTCAGTCTGCCGGCGGTGATGGTTGTTAACAAGTCAGTGCGTGTTTTTCAGTATGTCAATTCTCTGCTTGTACTCACTGCTGTGTGCCTTTCACTCCCTGACACTGCAGTCTTATTTTAGTGGTTCCATGCATTCCGTGTAGGGGTTAGTCATGACTTGTTTCAGTAAATATGTCTGTTCATGAATGGATGTTTAGATTGCGTCTTAGAGTGGGCCTGAAGATGAAGTCTATTTTAGGAAAGTGCCTTTGGCAGAGCTGGTCTGTATCACAGTGTATCACAGTGTCCAGTTGGTTAGGTGTGAGTCTCAGTGATAAACTTGGCAACTTTCTGGTAATAGCACCCTTGTCTTCCAGTCAAACCCCCAGCCTGCAGTCTCTCTGCATCTGCAGTCTGGCTTACACAGAAGCTGGACAGACAGTCATCAATATCATGGGCATTGGTGTGGATACCATCGACATGGTGATGGCTGCTCAGCCTCGTAGGTAGGAGACTCTCTGCACCTGCTCTTCTTTGCTTATGTGTTCTAAGGGCTTCAGTTATATTAATTGCAGCTGGTGTCGGGGGGGGG